TGTAGTTCATTAGCTACACCCAACCTGACTGAATACATCACTGTCAACTCTAGTAACCTTGGATGTAGAAGACAGTGTCACACTAAGATTAATGAAAATACTGAATGTTAAATATAAAACTAGACCAGAGTTTTCAAAGCAAAAACTTTTTATTGCTGAGGTGTTAAAATGCTAATGTTTATTTTTATGCAAGTAGCTTATATGAAGCCTGGGAGATTTGATAGACACTTTGAGCAATTGCAGTAATAAGTCAGCAGCATGAGCAGAGTCTCTGGCAAACAAGGCTCTGGAGGAGGTGTCATACAACTATCCACAGCTGCTATTGTCTTTGACCTTATTTTTTTAATTCTAACTCTAAACTGAGAATTCTGCTCTCATTCCCAATGCAGCCTCCTTTTCCTTGCCTAGAAATTAGAACTTTTAAAATAACAACTATTTTACTGCTGTCAAATTCATTTTTCTTTGCCTTTTTCTGATATTTTCTGGTTGATAGACATAGTCTCTGATAATCAAATAATTCAGTAACAGCTCTTAAATACTAACAGTTCTCTCTTACTGCTTATTTTGATGAGAAGTGTTTTTCACCCCACTCCAGAAGGTCTTCTGAAAAACAGGAAAAAATTACAATATTGCACTACACATTTTATTTTCCTCAAATACCATTATCTTTAATAAACTAGAGATCTTATACCTCTTAATGACTTGGCTTGTATAAACACCATCACAACAATACAAAGAAATATGAAGTAAATGATAAACAGAATGTGAGAGTAAGTAAACAAAAAAGGAAAGCAAAAAGAATTGCTTTTCTCATCCTGGGAACCACTAATTCTGATGACTTATTCTGTCTCTATTTTAACATATGAATTGGAGAAGAGGAAAGAAAATAATTCATAGTAGAATTACATTAAAGAATATTAGCTAAAAAGTCTGAACCAAGTCATATTTACCTGTCATGAGGCAGCTTAATAATTAAGAAGTAACAACACAGTATTGAAGAGATCTGAGTCATCAAGGGCAATGACCAGTTATTGTATGGTTCCTGTCACATAAGTATTAAGCTTTTTTGTTCTTTTTTTAATTCAATGGCCACGTGTCAAATCCATTGCAGGAAGTTTGCTTGGTTGCTTTGCCCACATGTCCATGCACTGCCTGAATCACAGAGGGGAAATACTGCTGCACTGAGCACCTGAATAGGGATCACACAAACCCCAAGACGTCTGCTGGCTGTGTAACAGCTTGTGATGTTCTCTGTTTGTGTGCTTTTCCTCACAGAGGGAAGTGGAGGCAACTGAAGAGAGAAGACATCAGTGGGCACTGATGTTTTCTCTCTGGCAACCAGTGACAGGACCCAAGGAAATGGTTTAGTGTTGCATCAGGGGAGGGTTAGGCAGGACATTAGAAAATGGTTCTTCCCCCAGAGGGTGTTTGGGCACTGGAGCAGCTCCCCCAGGGCAGTGGTCACAGCACCAACGCTGACAGAGTTCAAGAGACGTTTGGACAATGCTCTCAGGCACCTGGTATGATTTTTGTCCTATGCAGGGCCAGGAGTTGGACTCGATGATCCTCTTGGGTCCCTTCCAACTCTGATTATTCTGTGATTCTTAGGACAAAACAAATCTTTGTTACTTGGGACAGTTACCAGGGAAGTTGAACAAAAAATACAGTTAGATCTTCCAGGGTTCACAAAGTGAAGCCCTTCACAGTGGAGAGTGGCTCCAGACAGCTTCGGCTAGACCAAAAATGTGCAAAAATGCAGCCTAATAGGGGAGATGAAAAAAACAGCATCAATACTTAGACACATCATATAAAGAGAAGCAACAGAAGACTGGACATAGAAACTATTCACATTACCCCAGACCTCTCTGTACACCCAGACATTAACCCAGTAAGCTGAGACTACCCTAGTTTGCTGTCAGTGCTGACTTGCCGCAGTGAAGACATAAAACCAGACAAGCAAAACATGAGCTGTGCTTGGAGCAACTGTGGAAAAAACCAACTGAGGCAGCAGAGCAGCAATGTGATCAGAGGAGTTTTCTAAAACATGGGATATCACTGGGATTCATTGAAAAAAATTAAAGAATATTTTAAATTATTTTTAAAAACTAAAGTCCTTATTCTGTCCTCTCTCTCCATGTAGTATAAGCAGAATGGGGTGACTGCAATCCCTGCAGTGATACTTTTTTAACACGATGGAAACAATCAAAAAGGATCTTGAACAACCTTAAAGTACAGCTGCTGAGATCTTGTATTTTCCTTCCTGACCTGCAAAGATTCGATAGCAGCTTCTGTACACAGGCAATAAAAGAAACCTGAATAAGTAGGCAGGTAAAAATAAATTTACAGTCCCATCAAATACCAACTCCCAAAAATTTGAAAATATGTCATGCTATTCCAAAATAATAGTTTGAGCTTCCATTGACTTAAATTTACTCTTTTTCCACCTTAGGAGTTCTAGAGGAAATAAATCTTTCAAGGAAGAACCAATGAAATAGCTAAGCCTCAATAACCAAATGAGGCCATATAAATATGTAAACAAGCTAATCAAAAGGTGTTAAGCAGGGTGTAGACAGTAACTGCTTCCTCCATTTCATTTCACTTTATATTTGTGTTACAGGTATATAGGGGGTGAAGAAGTGTTTTTCTTACATGGACAGCCTTTACCCACATGATCACAAGTCTGAAGTAAGTTTATTTAATTCCCTTGCACATGTCCTCAAGACAACTTTCCCCTGCCAGGATGCAGGAGAGGACAATTGTCTCATCTCAAACCTTCACCTTCAGAGTATTTTGGTTAATTGCTGTGTCTTTGACTTGCACTGCGTTACCAGCAGCAAGCAGCTCCAAGTTGTTCCCTAACACTACAGACAGCACCCATAGCAGTTCACCTGTGAAAAGAAAATCAACTAAATCAGAAAAAAGGTCAAAATCACTTAAAAGAAAATCAGCCAAATAAAAGTGTTAGAAGTTATTTGCCTGTCACTTGCAACTAGACACCAAAGCCAGAAAACCCAGTTGCCCTATGTACTAGCTCAACAGCTACAAATAAGCATTCCCAAACTAGCCCACTTGCAGCAAGAACAGAGAAAGCTACTTTTGATAAGACTACAAATACTAGAAGCAAACCCGACTGTTTACAAGCAATAAGCTTTAATAGCAGCATTCTGAAAAAGAACTGAATATTTGTTGATGGTCTGTGTGCATTGCTCCCTCTAGTGTAAAAGATCCAAAAATTACAAGCATTCCCAAAATATCAGTTTGGTAACAAACCACTTTTAAAAAACATTATTCTCTATCCACATTTCCTCCCTAAATATTTATAACATCATTTCTCACATTTTGATACAAGAAAACACATTTTCACAGAGTTTCAGCTGCTGATGCAGGTCTCGTACACCTTTATTAGCAGGAAAGGATCATACCAGAACGGAGCAGTGAACATGCAAACTTACACCCTCTATTTACTACTGAAACACTCCCCAAGAAATTGTTAAGATAGAATGTGGTGTTCCCTTTTTTTTCCCTCTCCACTAGAATACTAATTTCCACTGTGTTAATAGCGTCATGGAAGAACCTGGTCTAAAATGTAACAAAGCACATTCTGACTGTTCATCTGACTACTGTACCTGGTTAGGCCCTTCAATTTGGAAATAAAGCAGCTTTGGAGCTTGGACTTCCTTTCCTAAGTATGTATGAAATCCCTTATAAACACACCAGTCACACCAAAGACTCTCAAGTCTGAGAAATTATTTTAGGCTTTAGCCCATCTCAAGAGCCACAGGATAATGCTCAACTTCATCACAAGAGTATAGGAACAGCTGCAGCCACTGCTTGCTCCTCTCAGGCAGTATCTGGGAAGAATTCCTGGAAGTTTCCATCACATATACAAATCAACCTAGCCTTTCATGCCAGTTTCATCAAAAGCAGACACACTGTGGTTTGCTAGGATGCTTTTCATCAGTTTTCCAGCTGAGGTTTCTCTTCAGTCCACAGAGACACCTGTAAGATGAAGGCAGCATCTTTTTTATTCTCCAAGAACTGACGGAGACACCTCTGAAGAGAAAAGCCATTAAATGAAACATGGAAGTCTGAGCAAAATTCACACTAGTTTTCACTGAAGGCCTGGTTAAAAAATTTGTTCCAGAGTCATTAAATTAATGTTCTGCTTTTGTTTACAATGGAGGAGCTCTTCTGCCCCCCTGCAATATTGTTAGTATCAGAAGCACCAGAGAATGTAGGAAGCGTTCTAATGAATCATTTTGTAACGGCAGATATACTTTTTATTGTTACTGGGACTTCATGCTTCACAGATATAAACATTCTTATCATAGAAATTCCAAATTAGCATCTTCCAACTCCTGTTTGCACTGCAATTTCAGCTTTCCAAGGTCCAAGATAGAAAAAACCTGAACATTCTCTGCATGCCAAAAGGAAGGCTGTGATCATTATCCAGTTTCACACACACCATATTGGAGTATATTTTGTGGAAACAGCCTGAAATATAGTTTGATGCAGGGTACTTTTTCTGAAGATCCTTAACAGGCAGTCCTAACAGATGACAAGTGGTTTTACTGTCTCAGTGTTGCCCAAATTAAAACTCCATTCCCTCAAAGAAGAGTGTGGTTATATGGCAAACTTTGGTATTCTATTTCTACCTGCTGTGGCTGTTGTTCCTATTGGAGCAGCACACCTCGATCATCCTTCCAGGACTCCTGCCAACACTACTGCCTCTAACGCTGTGTTTAACTGTCAAGATTGAGAAAACTATTTAATTCATCATTTGTGAAATTTATCCAACTCCTCTCTAATCATTAGAGTCCATCACAGGCAACTGGTCTCAACTAACCTGAATACCTACCATGCGAAGGGCTCAGTAAGGACGACACTGTATGCCACAAAACAATCAGCTTCTTGACCTAGTGCCTCCACTAGCATCAGTCATGGAGTAAGAAAATGGGCACTATAGCAAAATCTCAGGGGCTAAATTCAGGACAAAATTTACAGTTGAGAAAGAAATTTTATTTCAAGCTTCTATGGGGGTATTACAAACAATAGAGAATAAAAACATTAAAAACTATTTAAAAAGTAATTGTCCCTTTAAAATAAAGATTCAAGCAGGTTTAACAATGAAGTATGCTATTCAATGAAGTTTTAAAAAAAGATTTAAAAAGTACTGGTTTTGCTGTATTTGCTAATCCTTTATAAAAAAGCTGGGCATAAATACTTCGTGCATTCATATGCATTATTTGGTGTTTCATATTATATAACTTGGTACAGTATTTACGATATCACTGCAAAAGAGTTCAAACACAGTGCATTTATAAATAATGGAGCCATTTATAAATCACATTGCAAACATACCTTGCCATTTTCATTGTTACAAATTCAGTATCCCAGTGAAGGTAGGAATAAAGTAGCTACAACAATCAATATCTTGACTTTATTTTTTTTTCTTTTTAATATAAAAATGCAGTTCTGGAAACCCACCCTCCTTCTTCCCCCTGCCCAAACATAATGCTTTACTTCTTAAAAATAAAAATAAAGTACTAATTCTATATACATCACATGTACCATACAAAAATGTATCCAAAGTTTCTATTGCTACCAAAGTGTTCTAAATTAAAAGTTACATAAATCCCCTCATTGGAAACGAAGGATTACAAGATACCAAAAAACCAAATTACACACAAACCATCAAGTTATTTTATACAATTTCCAATACATTTTTCTCCCAAAGCAAGTTGTCTTCTCATGTGCCTGTATAAAAATGCATATCAATATATTTGTCAATTTTATTTTTCATTATAAAGCAAATTAATACATTTTCTACAATAAATAAAACACAGGGAGGCACACACAGCAACAAAATTAAACCAATGGGAGATAAATGGGATATGGTTTTGAAAGAAATAATGTGCTCGCAGGCTTTAAGCCAGGTTTGTTTAAAACAAAAACAATCTTAAACTTATTTTGGGCAACAATGGAGTGTTTTTGGTGATTTGCAAGTGATGTACATAGTATAACTTTTTATTGATGTCTTTCTCACAAAGTACCCTCCAAAATAATGCAACTTCCTTTCTTAAAATACATATTTGTAATTGTAAATTTACATCAATCTTAAATATGTGGTACTTTGTGCAAAGAGCAACAATTTACACAAACATTCAGAAGTCTTTTTCAGAAGCTACAGACCAAGGAAGAAATGATACAAGCAGCACCATACTGTATATGATTTAGGCAAACATATATTTCATGCCATTTTGATATTAGGCTTTAAGATTCACTAAACACCTGAAGCTGGAAGATGGTGCTTAGGTAACTTAACCTCAGAAAGAAAGAAAAAAAGAAGTAAAAAGCATGGAAACAAAAACCAACTCCCTCCCCAGCAAAATTGTAAAAGGAATTAAAGAGCTACTTCTAAAATCAGAATAAGTTAAGTGTTGAATATACATTTATGTACAATTATGAACACTATGAACAAGACATTTTAACAGGTTTAGTGGAAAATCCTCCGATCTACAACACAATAAAATCATTAATCAATATGGCAATGGTGATTTAGAAGAATTGCTCAACTATTTCAAGTTTGCAGAACTCAGCCACTGAATCAACAATTAAGGGGTTGTATCTTCAATACATTCTTTTAGACAAAGAGGTTCATTAGTAGAGTTCAAGTCTGTGTGGTATTTTTCATGCCTTGGTAGAATCTCTGCTAGTCAATATCACTGAAGTCACTGACTGGTTCTCCATGGACTCGACTCAGGTGATTCATCGCACGATCAAAAGCAATTCTTACTGCCTTCCGTATGCTTGAGTTACGTCCTTCCATCATTTTTAACTTGTCTATGGTCTCATCTATCCCAAGGGGAACCATTTTGGATTTGGGAAGCCACTGCCTGTAAGAAAGGGTAAAATAAATCTGTTAAATATCGAATACATTCAAGAATTTTGTCTGGAAATGTTTAGAATAGCATTCTAAATATTTAAAGTATAAATCAAATTTCATTTTCATACACGTTTAACACAATTCTGTTTTCTTAAGCTACAGATACTAAGGAAAATAAAAATTAGGTAAATTAATGAATATTAAAGTATGCTACTATAGTCTGCAATCCCAAACCAACAAATGGCAGAAGCCATTCTTTTGTTCAAAAACACCTCTTTGGGAGACCATTTGGAGCTGAACCAAATGGAAAACAGACAGTCAGGTCTGATGCGACACATTTTATTCAAAAATTTTCTTTTAAATGAAATCAAATTGTCTCCTGAACTATCCTTTTTCTTCAAAGCACTCTGAACGACAGCCCTATTGTATTGAGCACACACACTGAAACAAAACGTAGTCAGTAAAAGGATACAGACAGCACAGTATGGTATCAGCATGAAAAGCAGAAGCCTAACCTATTATCAGTTTTAATACAGATCAGAGAAAGTTTTAAGAAAGCATTTTTAATAGAAAGCTTGGCAAGTCCTCCAGATAGAAGCAGTGAAGAAGAAACAAATATGACTGTTTGGAAATTCACAAGTGACAGACACTGCTATTACCACAGACTGAAGGTGGTGACACACACCCTGCAAATGCATGAAAAACACAGACCAGGGTTCAAGAGTAAAAGAGACACAACTGAGTTAAGAGTTATGAGTGCCAAAATAATAAGGATAAATGAACCATTACCAAAATAAGTTGTTGGGGTGAGGGTAGAGGGGAGGAAAGGAAAGGAACTGGAAAATGTATTGAGCCTTTTCCTGTCCCATCTATGGAGAGTATCCATTAGAGACAACTTTGCCTAGTATTTGCAAGATTTAGGATCACCTGCATATGGTGACAAATCAGAAAGGTTTAAGACTCCCAAGAGCAAGAAGCAATCACAGCAATTATGAAGGAAGTAGCTAGGGAGAACATGCATTACACAATGAGAAAGAGAATGCTAAGGATGTTTAAATGCAGTTCTCTCTGTAAACAAAGGCAGACGAATGCAGGATCCCATGGAATCCTGTGCAATTGAACAGAGATGATCATGGAGAAGTATCAATTAATTCAGAAAACAACTATAGAACAGAGATAATTGTGATTATACCAGAAGAGCAAACATCAGTTATAAATTTTAGGGAAGAAGTTATTTTGGTAATAGTCTACTGGCACAGGGAGAGTCAGGACAATGGCAGCTTCACAAGACATCACATATAATTAGCTAAAGAGAAACTGGTATCTGAAGGTAAGCAAATTCAAGAGAAAAACTGAGATACAACAAGATTGTATAGCCTGACCTTTATGAAAACCTGGAGAGAAGGATTAAGAAGAATGCAGAAAATAAATATATAGTTTGACAAAAGGTAGATGAGAAGCTTCCCTGTCTAGCAAAAAAATAAAAAAAATTGAAAAAAACATCACTAACAAATAAATACACCAAAACCCCCTAGCAACAAAAAATAAATTGAAAAACCCCACCACCAAAACACAGTGAAAGCACAAAAACCAATCAAACCCACCACAGCCAAAGAGCATGGGGATGGGAAAGAGAATGTTTTATTGTGTGAACTATCCCCCTTCAGGCTCTACACAGCACACTGCCGATAGCAAAATAAATGGAAAAAGGAAAGGTTTCATGAAAAAAAATTACAAAGGGCTCAAAACTTCAAATGAAAGTGTTAATAAAGCATTTAACTAAAGAGAGGCTAAAATTTAAGCAAAAGGCACTAGAGCAGACTGGGTGGGAAGGCACTGTCATTCAGACAGCAATGATGAAGGGCTGACAGAGAGAAATGCTGGACTATTAGCTTTACAAAATCTGTTTAGCCAAAGAAGCAATTTTATAGGTCAATAAATGAAACCAGCTCGAAAATCAAATCAAAAGTCTATTTAATGAATTTTATTATTTTCTTCCAAACTGACCATAAAAAGGTAACTTTCAGTGACTATATGCCCTGGACCATAAACAGACTCAAATATGAAATTTTAAAATTACAGTTGATACTTCCACAGAACTGATACCCATGGAAAGGTAACATTTCAATTTTCCTTTAGACTAAAGATACACGTTCTTAAAACTTCATGTCACTGGATCAAACAATACATCTCAATAACATACCAACTTCTTTTATTGTCAAAAAACAGTACTAAGAATAGTTTCTCATCTGATTTGGTCTGCATTTGTTCTCCAATTTTCAGTACATCCAGAGGTGGCACTGGTATGGTAACACCATTGTGATGGCCAGCAACACGAGGCATCTTCGGGTCAATAATCTGGAAGAGAGAAAAAAAGACAGTTCCTAATTTTTAAAGCTTACTAATTTATAACTAAACAACCAGTGGATATAAACTGGCTCTGTGTTACACACAACAGTTTGGCATAAGCTGAATAGGCACAGTGGTAGATTTAACTGAAAACACTGAAAAAAAGCACTTTCACACCTATCAGTCATTCTCAAAGTCCCACCTGAATTTCACTTAGCACAACTTTGAGAGTGACAAGTAGGTTTCAGAATTAGAAAGTTGAACCAGGATTTCTAAAAGCCCTAACTGGCCTCAAATTTTGGGGTTTGAATTTCATAGAATCATAGAATCAACCTGGTTGGAAGAGACCTCAAAGACCATCAAGTCCAACCCTACTGTGGTCACTAGACCATGGCACTAAGTGCCACATCCAGTCTCATCTTGAAAACCTCCAGGGATGGTGAATCCACCACCTCCCTGGGCAGCACATTCCAATGCCTGATATTTTTTACAGAGAGAGTTATCTTCCCAGTATCCAACCTAAACCTCCCCCGGCAGAGCTTGAGTCTGTGCCCTCTTGTCCTACTGCTAGATGCCTGTGAGAAGAGACCAACCCCCACCTGACTCCAACCTCCTTTCAGGTAGTTGTAGAGGGTGATAAGGTCTCCCCTGAGCCTCCTCTTCTCCAGGCTAAACACCCCCAGCTCCCTCAGCCTCTCCTCATAGCACTTGTGCTCGAGTCCCTTCACCAGCCTCGTTGCTCTTCTCTGGACCTGCTCCAGCACCTCAATATCCTTCCTGAACTGAGGGGCCCAGAACTGCACACAGTACTCAAGGTGTGGCCTCACCAGCACCGCGTACAGGGGCAGAAATATACCTTAAAGAAACAACTAAGTATTTCTGCAAAATACAAACCCCACACTCAAAATCTGTAGAGAAAAAATAGGTATTACCACTTTCAGATATCTTGCATATCCATTTTATAACACAGTCTTCAGCAAAACATGCAATAAACAGTCACACTTTCTAAATAAAGGTTGATGGAGGGGGGAAGAAGCTGCTAACATTAAACTAATCAGATTGATGGAAAAACTCCTTTACAGGCAGATCACAGCATTACCAAGTGCTCAGCTTCCACCAAAGAAAGGTTAACTCCATGCCTGTTCCACCCATCTTCTACTCTACAAACTCCTGTTGATTTTCTAGCAACCACACTCACACTCACCTTAATCCACAGTAAACTGATTATGGGAACTCAATAAACAGAAAGGTAATGATGTGGGGAGTTTGTAGAGATCAGGAGAAGAACCTTCTTCTCTTGACTGGGGCTTAATTCCTCAATCAACTCATCCCACACTCGGAAACACCAGTGGTGACATAAAGGAGTGGACAGAAAAGGAGCCCTTTGGTCTTGATCAGCTTATATTTAACACTAAAGTGCTAACACCATTCAAGAGACAATCAAATCATAAATTTTCAGCATTTGACCCAAGTGTGTTTGAGTCACCTGCTGAGGGCACTTAAACTCAAGTGCTCTGAATGCCACCTCCAGAGGTTTCAACCCGAGTTTGTATTATTGCACCTCCTGATGTCCTCAGCATACATATATGTCATGATTTTCCAGTCTATTATATAAACCAAGCCCAACTGTGTGAACTGTTTCTATAACCCCAAATGCCTGAAGCCAAACACTTTATCAACGTTTTCTCTGCAAGCTTTGATCTAAGTAGCACTGCGTCTATTTCTCCTAAGACGAAGTGAGCATAACAGCTTTAAAGCTTCCAGTACAACTGGCTGCAACCAATTTATTCCAACTCTACCAAGATACTTGTTTCTTTAAAGAATCAAAGTATTTTTATATTCATTTTGCAGCACAAAATATCTTATGATTCCAACATTAACAAGATGTCTGTGAAATCCTTATTCAATTAGACCTTTAAAAAATAATAATGAATTCAGAAACAAAGGCTACCGAGACAGGTGTGTTGGTTTTAGCTGGGATAGAGGTAATTTTCCTCATGGCTCCTAGTATGGAGCTGTGTTCTGGATTTGTGCTCAAAACTGTGCTGATAATACAGAGATGTTTTTGTTATTGCTGAGAAATGCTTACACAGAGCCAAGGCCTCTTCTGTTTCTTGCAGCACTCCACCTGTGAGAAGGCTGCAGGTGCAGCACAAGGAATTGGGAGGGGACACAGCCAGGAAAGCTGACCCAACTCACCCAAGGGATATGCCATACCACGACATTATGCTCAGTATTTAAAATTGGGGGAAGGAAGAGGAAGGTAGGGACATTCAGAGTGATGGCATTTGCCTTCCCAAGTAACTATGACATGTAATAAGCCCTGTTTTCCCAGGGATGGCTGAACATGTGCCCGCCCATGAGAAGTGGTGAATGAATTTCTTGTTTTGCTTTGCTTGCACATATAGCATTTGCTTTACCTATTAAACTGTCTTCATCTCAACACATGAGTTTTCTCACTTTTACTCTTCCAACTCTGTCCCATCCCACCACAGGAGTGAGCAAGTGGCTGTGTGAGGCATAGCTGCCAGCTGAGGTTAAACCATGACACAGAAGTACTGCACATCTCAAAGAACAGGCTGGGTAGCAGAGATTATTGACTCAAAGTCTGATACTGCAAGAACTTTACAAACTCCATGTATGGTTAAGAGGGCAGAATAAGACCCTTTTATTTGACCTGAGTGGGAAATTATCAACTACCTTAAGTTTGCACACAGTATTTTCAGACCAGAAACAGCACCACTGGTGTACTGATGGGAAGTTGTGTACTTACCAGAGCTGGGTAAGAGGGATATCCACTGCATTTGGCCCATACTACTTTTAGAGGCTCAAGAACAGATGTTGCAGCATCAGTTGAAATCCACATACTGCTATGCCCAACTTCTAAGAACAAATAAATAAGAAATTAAAATGTTCCAGAATGAGACAAACCTGCTGTTCTTGGTTTCCTCATCAATAGCTCGTGATCATTAGAATCCAAATACCAATACCACCATGCCAATAAAAAGCAGGCAGGGTTCATAACAGCTCTATACATGATACTAGTACTTTAATCCAAGACTACTGATAAAGAATAAGGGTTTAGACACTTCTAGAAACAGCATATCTTAAAAATCTTAGCTCTTAGAAAGTATTTGCCAAATTCTAATAATCCTTTCCCTTTAAGAATCCTAAAAAGAAAACAAAATTATAGTACCCCAACCAGCAGTTTATTTTAAAACTACGATAACAATCCTGTCAGAGAGGTGATGGTATTGAAGATGCAAGTTTCATGGTATGTTTCCAAAATGTTGGACAGCCATAGAGAGAGGAGCACCTAATAACTTCCAACACTTGTCTGGTACACCCTTCCATTATGCATAAATTCTAACCTGCATTTTAATTTCTGTTTATTTTTAACAAGCCCTCTTGGTCTCTCTGCCCAGCCCTTTCCTGAAGCAAAGCTCAGAAAGACCAGTAGGGTTCCAGGAAGCAGCTGCAATAGGGGTTTATTTCTTCTCATGAAGCAGCATAACAGAAACCTCAGTTTTTGCTACTGTGCACTTCTACCAGAATCCTCCCTTTTCTTCTCTGTTGCTCACCACTGGATTGAAGCATCAGACAGGTTTAAGTCTTTCAAGACAATCAAAACCACAACTGGCCCCTGGACACAGAGGGATACAGTGGTCAAGAGACTGGGCAGGAGACAATGGTCAAAAGGGAGAAGCTTATCAAAGTTCATATGCTGCAAAGACAAGGTGGCTCTTATATGGGGAAATGTGGTACCAAAATACAGCTCAGAGGTTGCACTTTCACCTTCTTTTAGCAGCAAGGCAATACTTGAGAGAAGTAGCTCTCTAAGTGCCAAAATAAAATGTATTCCTCAATTCTTCTCAATCTGCTCCCATTTAAAATGGGCAATGCTTATTTATAATAAAATGTGGCATGCAGATACATGTTCTATCTTGACACTACAAAAAATACTGGGGAAAAAAAGTGGTTTAAGACTTTTTAAAGTGTAGAAATAGCAAGAAGAAAGTGTTTAAAGTGATCACATAAAAAAATTAGTTCAATCATTCTTCATGCTGAGTTGCTACTTCTCTGCTCTATTAGTAACAGTTTGCAAAATATTCACAAGGCAGTCAGAAAGATCCATGAGGGTTCAGATTAATGCATTCCTCATACACAGACGGTTTTGAAAAGTATATATAGAACTGTATCTGGTACATAAAACCAGTACAAGTCCTCTTCTTCAGGAAAGCTAACAAGGAAAACAAACCTTCAACTGCAAAGAAAATGGTATTGTAATGCAGAGTAGAAAGTCATACACAATCTGACAGGATGCATGCAGCCAGACTCAGACACTTCTCAGGTGCATACAAAGAAACGATCTCAGAATTTTTCCCAGTCAGAATTTATTCCACAAGATAATAGGGGGTTACTACTCCATCACAAACAAACAAAAAAAAACCAACAAAAAACCAGACATAGGAACTCTATGTAGAAAGTGTTTAATATAAGCCTACTCAGGGCAGAGTAAGAAAAACAAACAAAAAAGGTTAAGTCCTGTATAAGAGACTCCCATATGGAAAACAAAGTTACTAAACCTGGAAGAAATGAAGCACTAGCTGAAAACAAATTAGCTGAAAGAAAGCACAACAAAACTGATCACATTGGGAGGAAAGAACAGACTAAGGCAGAGTCAGATAAAAGCACCAGAAAGACATCAAGTCCTGGACAAGGAACACCCAGGATGAGGAGAAGAAGAGCTGTAAGGTCAGAGACTACACAAAGGTCTGCTGGACACTGCAAGGCTGATGCCCACTTTCACTGGGGGAGAACCATATCACACAGAAGAAACCTACTTATGGAAGAGATTACCTACTTAAATCTTGTAATGCAATTAAAATGTTGAAAAAGGTGTAAAACATATCCTCTACATCCCTATAAACTTCCACTTCTTTCCAATTTCAATTTTTTCCTGAATCAAAACAGACTATGTCTTACCCATCTGCTAAACACATCTCTGCAGAACAGTATATAAGGAGTAAATCCTAAACTGAAAGGCCTGAGGAAAAGAAGTATTGTCAGAACCACAAAGAGTAGTTCAGGCCAAGTTTTGTTTTTATTACTAAAGTAGCTTGATCACTTTACACACCACTTATTACTTAAAATCAGAATTGGGTACTATTCTTTTTAAAAAGTCTTTAAAGAGTCAAAACCAGAAACCAGTATTTTCTGCAATGCTATCAACACCACTTGCAGAATGCTTAAACTTAAGCAGTGAAAATAAGAATGCTAGAATCTGGCAAATAAATGGATGAAATTATAGTTATACAATATATTAAGAATATATATAATTTATAGTTACCAGCTGCAATTCTTGCTGCTTTGGCGTAGTTTCCATTTTCAATGCATGATATCAATTCACTTCGGTCTTCCAGTGTGTGTCTTCGTATAAGAGCAGGTTTGCCTTTACCACACTTTGGTAGGCTAAAACTATGGAAGTATTAAAACCATTACTTGATAATTCACACTGTTCACGATAAAGAAAAACTTTGAAAAATTATTTCAATATTATCAGTAAAATAAGAGCAGCAAGCACTAAAAATAAATTCAGTTGACAAACACAAACCAAACCAGAAAAGCCAAACCCCCTGGTTATGTTCACGCACAGAATTGCCTGGTTATCAGCAAGAGGCAAATGGTGTGCAGCTGCACCTCCACTGCTGTACAGGTTGAGAGGTGTGCACAAATGAGAGAACCTGCTTTGTCTTCAGTGCTACACTGGATACTGGGAAAATGAAAACATGTTTCCTCTGCTCCAACAATTCCACTGTATGGGAAACACAACTATTCTTTCATTTTTCACTACAAATTTGAGTATTTCAAATCTGAAGTTCCTATACACAAAATGGGGAATTTGTTCCCTGCACACTTGAGTTTTCTTTAAGAAATCACAGAATGTGAACAGCAATTATACTGACAATTTGATCTAGAAGATCACATTTACAAGAGATGCAGTATGAATTTATCTTTGTTTCTGAAAGCCTGCTCAACATGACTGCACCAACACCATTCCTTAACTTGAACACATGAATCAAGCCTTCCTTTTTTCTCAAATATATTCACCCTATACTCATGTATGTCCCATCCTCATAGTCCAGGACTGGAGACAACTACTTTTACCCTGAGATCAGTGCTCTTTTGGAAGATGCACCATTAGTGATGGAGACATATTTATCAACAGTGGCAGAGGTGACCATTCTGACAGTCCTGTCTTTAACAACAGACTCCACAGAGAGAAAGCAAATAGCTGTACATACAGGTACTATTATCACTGCAGTAAGCAGCCAGTAACCCACAGACTGATAACCTACAGTTCCAAAGCTACTGAATTTACCTTTCCTGTGTACAAGACTCTGCTTTGTAAATTGCTTCTCACTTCCCCTCATCCACTTTTAGTGGTCAGGATTAGGAAGGCAATTAAAACAAGATACTGTACGTATAGATGTGTATATGTATCTATACACAGCAGGAGAAGCATAGGCAGTTATTAAGTGTAACTGCCTGGATCTACAGTACCCTGAATTCAACACTAGAATATCAGCAATCCTGAAAGGTATCTCAGGTCTGACACACAACTGAGAAAACTGAAATGTACTCCTTTTTCCAAAATTTATACAATCCTCCAATGTGGGTCACAAGCAGTACAGAAAACTGATACATGGTCTCAAATTTATATTTCAGATTTACTGTTTTACCTTGAGTTACACAAGAGACTGTTACTAGATGAAATACTAGATTCTGATGCACAGCGGCGACGAGGTTCAACTTTTCTTCCTGGAGTATCATCTAATGCTCTCTCTTTACTTCCATCTCCAAAACCATTTGACAGACCTGCAGCATAACACAAAAAATAAACTGCATCAAACTGGAAACTGCACCATCTTCATTAACAACACTTTGTATTCACACAGTGTATCATTATTGTTCTGTACTTCGAGTATTCTGATTTGATAAAAAAAGAACATGAATATTAACAAAATATTTCATTTCAAACCACAGTATTATAAATAGGAGGTTCCTGTTGTTCAGGTTTTAAAGACACAATGAACATTTAGGTAACATTAAGAAAAAAAGATTGTAACATGGGAAATGCCAAAGGCAGCATCAAATCAGTCTCTGTATGTAATGTTTCCAACTATGAAGACAGCCAGGCTTCAGAAGCTTCAGAAAAAATCCCCAAGAAATAAAGTGTTACAAACCAGGCAGATTTACCAAGGCAACAAAAGACTCATTTGAATACAACGTTAAGCCAAGAAATACTGAAAATCCTTTTCAAACACTAGAACTAAAGGCTGGCACAGATTTCCTCCTGATGCTATCTAGCTCTTCCTGGAAATCTTTCCATTTTAGTAAATTCAGACTGACATGATCCTGTCTCTTTTCTGTGACCAATAATCAATAACATACACATTACTATTTTTACTATCCTTGTCCTGGCACAAGTTTATATACATCCATGGATATTACATTTTAATTCCAGAATTGTAATGAAAACATTAAAAAGGCTTTTATATTACAAGCTACTGATTTAATGGGCTGCTGCCAATCCTGACTGGGTTTGCTAACTCACAAACAGTATAGTCCTTATTAAGCCATTTCTGTACTTGATTAAAGAGACATATGAAGAGGCTTAAGTTACCATTCAGAAGACTTTCTGGTGTGCGTGTGGACATTAGGACTAACAAGGAAAGAATACAACACAGACTCTAGAGCACCATCAGAAATGCACTGGCTAAGGGCAATGGTACCAGCCTGCACTCAGCTACTGCAAACTGGGCTACAAAGACAATAACATTTTAACACAAATTCAATTCTGAGTACACCTCTCATAACTCAAGAGCGAGCTACCCATCCCAGCCATCCTACTACCAGAGTCCTGAAGGTCATCATGATCTTTGTTCATTCAGACAGAGGAAAATAATAAGCTTATGTACTACATGTGCCCCTCCATAGAGCACTGTAGTATAAAATGATTACAGCAGAACTCCCTTTATTAAGTTTAATTCTTCCAGTCTGTCTGCTACCAAGACATCTGCAAAGACAACTGACAACCAAGGAACTTGAGCTTAGCAAGTTACTTTGTACAATCCATTCATTTAACAAGGCATTTCCATAATGTAACTTGGGATTTTTTCCCCCTCCACCCCAGGAGTCCTTCCATTTGGATTATCAACAGCATTTTAGAGTTTTAAGAGAAAAAAGACAATATACCGAATGTTCTGGAAGATTTACAGATACTTGCTCTCTTTCACTGTCGTTTAGTTGACAATGTAAACATTAATTTAAGAGTGTCTGTTAAATTATAAAGTCAGATCACAGATAGAATGTGCCGTTTTAAGATGAATCAAGTAATGACTACTACCAGAACCAGAGCAATGTTCAGGTTCCCAATTCACTGTAAAAGCAGAAGGAAATACCAGTTTCATTCTTGTAAGAGCAAGTATAAAACGTTTGACCATATCTAAGCCAATTATGACTTAGGTACGTACGTCTACATATTCTGGTTCTGTATGTGTGTGTGCATCCAGGAAAAAAGGCTTCATATTTTTATTACTTCCATCAGTTTATGACTGTGCTGTCACCAAAATGGACCACTTGGTGCTCTCAGTCTCTTCCAATGGTTTCTTCTTATTGTCACCAAGTCAGTACCAAGAAAAATGTGGTCATAGTAATGAAATAACTCTCAGCAAAGCACTGGGCAAAGCAATCATGTGATCAACCTGAATGCTGATGCTGAGAAACAAGGAATGCAACAGAGACACACAACTGATCACTGCTGAGGAACTGGGCTGGGTATTGGTCGGTGGTGATGAGTACTTGTGTTGTGCATCACTTCTTTCTTTTGGGTTACATTCCTCTTTTTTTCTACCAGCACTACTATTAGATTTTACTTTGTTTCAATTATTAAACTGTTCTTATCTCAACCCACAGGTTATACCTTTCTTCTGATTCTCCTTCCATCCCACGAGGGGAGGGGAGAGCAAGGAAGTAAGCAAGTTTTTGGGTGGTACTTGGTTGCCAGCTGGGGTTAAACTACGACAAGTGGGGGAAAAGCCCCAAAACCCTATCTTACAAATAAGGAATATTAAAACGTAAAATAATTCAGAGCTTCTCAGACACATTTTTGTCTCTTCAGGAACTAGAGAACATGCAGGCTATCAGCAAGAGCAACAGGCCTAAATATCAAGCTCCAAATGACAGGGGCTTATGCAGTCCATGAGACAAGTTTATACAGTTCAGTTTTCAGAAATTATCAGGAATAGGCATCATTTTAAGAAAGGAATACCTCAATGCTTATTTTAAATAAAACACACTCATAACTAGTCACAGATGCAGAAGTTCCCAAGTGACCTTGTAGCTTGCCAGAAAAATCCAGTCAATAAAATTTAAGTGCTTTATGGTACCACTGATGTGCAGAAAATAATCAGATACACTGCATTTATATGCTGTAACTGGGAATTAGGGGTTTTTTAGTTCATTATAAAACTTTTTTCTCCCATGAATTATGAAACACCCAATGTCCTGTAGCTACGGGGATAAGCGAGATTAAAGATCTCCATTTGCTTTAAGGATTTTGTATTTTATTGAATCAGAAGCTATGACGAAGGAGGTCAAATAAAGAAAACCCATGGGACAAGTAACTCATTCTGCTTTTGCGAACTAGCAGCCTGGGTAAGCTTGCAACCAACTTCTATGAGCCATTTCCCAAGAGCACAGGATTTTGTTACATCAAATGTATAGGCACATGAAGCAAGACTTTATTACATCAGGTACAGAACTTGTTAGACATATCCCCTCACCAACACCCCTGACTGACATGTGACCTAAACATCAAACTAAAAACCTTTCATTAGTGGATAATTTCTTTTTCTTTTCCCCCTCTGTTCTTAAGTTTCTTCAGAAAAGCAGTTCACTCTCAGAGGCAGAACTCAACTTTTCAATTAAAAAAAATAAAAAAGGGAATTCACAAATAATGCAGTCTGCTACCAACCCTAAATGCAGGGTTACTGCCTTTTCTAAGCTTCAGCTCAACCTCAATTTACATGGAAAATTTACTGTCATGCCAACTATGGCATATTAACATACAACCATTTAAAAAATAAAGAAATGCTAGTAACTGTAAACTAAGCAGAAAAAAGGTAAGGCAAAGTTGATCAGCTTGATACTCTTCCACAGGTCTCTCACTGCACTGAACACTACCAGGCAAACTTTTAACTTTAGAACAGTAGCAATTTGTTTTTAAACTGCAATTAAAGCTTTCAGTGACTGCCTACATCAAGCAAGTTAGAATCTTGTTGCCATACCAAATTAATGGAAGAAAGAAAAGGCAACTCCCAAAAGACAGCAGAAGTTCAGAAAAAAAGAGAGAACAAAACTCAGGATAGTTGAAGGGCCAGCACAGCATGCTCCATCAATGCACAAAATGCTGCCACAGAACACAGAGTTGTGCTTTTCAGACTGTAACCCCATTTTATGGTTCTGCTGAAACAAAAATCAAGAAGCAGAGCTTGTACAAAGTTATTCTACAGCAATTAAAACTACAACGCATAGCTTGATGCAAAACCAAGCATATCTAAATATAAGACGAAGTGCTGCGATAAAACTAGAGCTGAACAGCTGAGATTCAACCACTAAAAAAAGTGGGAGCATTTGAAAAAATGCAGGCACGCAGTACACCAGCACTTATATAACACTATTTAGGTTTATTTTACCAAGTAAGGACTAATCGAGTCCTGACTTGTACACTTACCCAGAACCAGTGATGTTAGTCTGCAGTAAAATATACATACATTAAAGGAAAATGTGTATTTCACTAAAAATAAACATTTTTCTTGTATGCTTCACTCCTCCAAGGAAGATGAGACTGTTTTTTGCGAAGGAGAGAGGATGGAAATATAGCATTCTTAACTAATCTGCTCTGCGAGAACACGCTCTGGAAATAGAACGTTCGGACTGGCAAAAATCTGCGACCAATTTGTGGCACATATACTACAACACGTACAACTTCGTAACTTACGGAAATGGGGCAATAAATTGAATGAAGAGCATAGTTTCATATATGCCAAAGACTTCCTCCAAGAGTGTTCATTTCTATTTGATTTTTGTTTTAAGGATGGATGGTTTCTCCAACACGATCCAAAATTATTACTTCAAATGTAAGTTTCTGCGTTCCAAAATGATCATTTAATTGAATTCCATTCCAAGTTGAAGATAACAGAAAATAATTAGGATCCAAAGAGATTAATACCCAGCATGATATTAGTTAATATGAGAACCTGGAAGACAGTGAAAAAGCCATTAAGTCCCTCTGACAGGAAACAGAGCTTTCAAATAAATAAGCCATCCCTACAGCAGCATCCAGAGACAGTGAGAATGGCACAAGTGTCCCATGTATTCTAACACTAACACTCAGCAAAAGTTTCAAAAAGGGACAATCTAAATAAAATGTCTCACTTTGATTCAGGTCTCTTTTTCGAAAAAGAAACTATTGAAAGTCATTGAAAGCTCAGAATACACCTGCCGTGTGCAAGAAATTCATAAAGAACACGGTTAAGGAATATATCTAAAAGTCCCTTCAGTAAGAGTAAGAAAGGAAATGTCACAGGTTTTGGGAGATTTACATATACAAGTATGCAGAGACAGGATAAAGAAATGCTTTAAGGTAGTAAGTAAGCAGAAGTTATTGTATTCTTAAAAATGCAAACCTAGAAAATGGGCATACTGCAACAATAGGAAGGCATTCATGAAGTTTTTACAAAGTGAACCTCAGAGTAACCCTATAAATGTCTACTTCCCACAGTCAATTCTGGAGTGCAGTAAGAATATTAAAC